CCTACGGGGATTGAAATGGGACATGTGTTTATGCTACTTAGACGACATTGTAGTCTATGGATCGACCTTTAAAGAACATTTAACACGTTTATACAAAGTTTTGAGATGCATTCAGCAGGCCGGACTGTGCCTGAATTATAAAAAGTGTCATTTCGCCTCGAGACAAATAACTATCCTCGGGCACGTCGTTAATGAATTTGGAACGCAGCCAGACCCAGAAAAAGTGAAAGCCATTGTCCACTTTCCAAAACCCCGTAATATCAGTGAAACCAGAAGTTTTCTTGGGTTAAGTTCATACTATAGACGCTTCATCAAAAGTTATGCTAACAAGTCTCGACCCTTGAATAGCCTTTTAAAGAAAGATGAAAAATTCATTTGGGGCGAAGAACAAGATGAATCTTTCCGGATTCTCAAACAGGAATTGGGATCTTCGCCTGTGTTAGGACATTTCATAGAAGGTGCGGAAACTCATGTCCATACTGATGCAAGCGGCTATGGTTTAGGGGCAGTTCTTGTTCAAATCCAGAATGACGCGGAGAGACCTATAGCCTATGCCTCACGAACACTAACCAAAGCGGAAAAGAATTATTCCACTACAGAAAAAGAATGCCTCGCAGTTGTTTGGGCCCTTGGTAAATTCCGCCCGTACCTATATGGCAGACCCTTTACTGTGGTTACCGACCATCACTCGCTATGTTGGCTGGTAGGCTTGAAAGATCCATCCGGCCGCTTAGCTCGTTGGGCCCTCAAACTACAAGAATACGACATAAACATCGTTTACAAAAGCGGACGCAAGCATAAAGACGCTGACTGTTTGTCAAGAAGCCCCTTGGCTGACACCGCAGAGATAGAAGGGCACATTACTTCCATCCAAGACATTGCAGAAGAACAAAGTAAAGACCCTCATTTGGTTGGGATCCGTGAAAAACTTGCAAATGAAAATTTAAAAGGGTATCAGATGATTGGAGGCGTTCTCTATAAGAAAAATTACGACCCTGAGGGCAAACCATGGCTGCTAGTAGTCCCAAAACAAATGAGGCACGAAATTCTTAAAGATGTCCACGACACTCCAATGGCCGGTCATTTGGGATTTGCCAAAACCTATGACCGCGTTAGAAAGAGATTCTATTGGCCTGGACTTTATAGGACAGTTTCCCAATACATTGCTCATTGTAAAGAATGCCAGCGAAGGAAGGGCGTGCCTCAGAAACCTCCTGGACTACTAGTCCCAATACCTCCAACGACCTCCTCGCCTTTTCAAAAGATAGGAATTGATTATCTGGGAAGATTTCCCATATCTCACACGGGAAATAGATGGATAATAGTCGCGACTGATTATCTCACCAGATTTGCGATAACAAAGGCCGCGGCAACAGCGGAGGCTACTGAATTAGCAACCTTCCTTATTGAAGACGTCATACTCAAGCACGGCGCTCCTCGGGAAATCATCACGGACAGAGGAAGAAATTTCATGTCTCAGACCATACGAGAAATAAATAATCTAAACGGAACAATTCACAGATTCACCACGGCATACCACCCTCAAACGAATGGTTTGACAGAAAGACTTAACAAGACCCTGACTGACATGATCTCGATGTATGTTGACGTTGATCAGAAAAATTGGGACAACATCCTACCATATGTGACCTTCGCCTACAATACCGCTCGACAAGAGACAACAGGATACAGCCCGTTCTTCCTCGTCCACGGCCGAGAAGTTGAAACACCGCTGGATTCTATACTGCCGTACCAGCCGGCAGGAACTGCAGAAGATTATGTGGGCCATCTTGTGACCAACGCTGAGGACGCACGAATGTTAGCCCGTCTCAACATCCTGCAGGCTCAGAGCAAAGACAAAGAACGCTACGACAAGAAGCATCAGGAGGTGACGTACAAGGAAGGTGATTTGGTGTGGGTGTTCACCCCAGTCCGTACCGTTGGCTTATCGGAGAAGTTATTGAAGAGATATTTCGGACCCTATCGAGTGATCAGAAAAATATCGAGTGTAAATTATCAAGTAGAAGGCGTGACGAATACTAGGAGAAGACGAAAAACCCAAGATATCGTCCATGTAGTGAGAATGAAGCCCTACCACGACCCTGAAGTCCAAGAACAGATTGCCCAATGTCATGTGACCGACTAGTAAACAGCGGGACGCTGTTTCTCTTGTGGAGGGAGTGATGTCAGGAGGACAGAGTTTCCTGGTATTCCCCCTTATCTGGACCGACCGGTCGGGGTAAACAGTGGCGTCACGTGGAAGGAGGATATATCTGAGTTCTCCCCTCTTGCTCTAACGGCTGGGTCGATTTGGCTCATGTAAATAGTAACTCTTATTTTACATTTAAAATCTCTCATATAACTCATTAAATAAATATTTAAAGTAATTCGAAGGCCTAGTTAATTATTTTTCATCGCGACAATATCACAGTTGAAATCATTTAAAAATACAAAGTAGGTGGGGGAAATTTGTGCATGAAAAAAAAAGTATTATAAAAATTATAATCATAATAAGTTAAATATCCTAAAATATTAAAGGAACTTTTTACATATATATTTTGAGAATTCGAAACTATTGTAAACGCGTAAAACAAGGTAATAAGACCAAATCCAAATAAATAAATAGTGTGTGACGTTTCGGTAACAGCGTTGTTACCATCTTCAGACAAAAGTACCAGTGTACCAGTAACAACGCTGTTACCGAAACGTCACACACTATTTATTTATTTGGATTTGGTCTTATTACCTTGTGTTTTATAATCTATAATCCAAATTGTGCCTTATTAATTATAGACGCGTATGATTCTTTTTGAAAAATTAAACAATTTCTACTGTCCTTACTGTAATGGAAAAATTAATAGGAGGGCCTGGCTCATCAGTGGTGAACTCTCCCAGCGGTCTCACCAGTTTAATCTACCATATCGCTGTTATATTGCATTTTTCGATCTTCCTTTTATAGTGATACTGATGTTTAACTCTTGGAATGGGTATTTTAGATAAACTGTGGACTTTTAGGACAGCAGAATTACATACAATTATATATATTTTTTTTTTAATTAAAAAAAAAATCATATGCGTCTATAATAGTTTCGAATTTTCATAACAGATGAAACCAGAGAGAGAGAGCCGGGCGGCCGTTCGTGTCGCACACAATCCCCAACTGTCTTAAAAGTCCCGAGGTGTTAACTGACGGGCCCCATTTGCCGCTCTTTGGAATGTCGCTGCTGTCTCAAGTGACCGGACTTTACATCCCGTCTCTCTCTGAGCTGGCTCTAGGTTTGCTTTATTATTCCTGGAAGAGTATATATTATGACATATATATATATATATGATATTTTATATAAATTAATTTATATATGAGTTATATGAGTTTTAAAACAAACTGGAACGCTTCAATAGATTATATAACATTGACAATTTTTTTTTTTTAATGTCGATCTTTCAAACGTAAAGAGCTAACGGTTTTGTCATAAACATATCCTGAAGATAGAAGTTGCCTGGTCGGTATTCATATTTCTGTGAAAATTAGACACTTCAGCCAGTTAGAGTTTTTGACTCGTGCTTTAGATGTTGTACTAAATTCGAAAAATCACGTGAGAACGCCCTTATAAACCTCAGAACAATTTTTAACGCCTTGTCAAATGCTTTATTTTTATTTGTTTCTTCTGATGACGACAAAAGATTTTTATCGAAACGTTGAGAAAATAAAAAACTCCAACTCTGGCCGAAGTGTCTATTTTTTATAGAAAAATAAACATATATCTAATATAATATAATGCGACTTGTGATTGTAGAACGACATCTGAAATTTATATCGCAAGTGTTTCTTTTCAACGATAAATCAATTTTTTTTTTATTTTTCAAGGAGAAATAACGAATATTTCTAACCTCATGATGAAGTATGAAAGGATAAATTGTGAAGAGCAATGATAAACGGAAAAATAAAAGTGTCCAGGGATAAGAAAAGAAATTGAATTCGTTTAAAATAAACACTTGCGATATAATTTTCAGATGTCGTTCTATAAACATATCTATTGCTGAAGGTTTTTTTGATCTTTTTATCAATAAAAAAATGTGTCAAAAACTTACGTAAAACGAAAGTCACCAGCCAACAGCACAGGTAGGACCTGTAGTGAGGCTCCCAACGCTGAAAACACATCAACTACTTAACAAACACATTATAAATTACTTTATATAATTAAAAAGACATATATTGAATCAAAATATCATTTATTTTACCAATATTTCAGTTGGCTGAACGCCAACCTTTATCAAGGTGTTATAACATTTTTAATGCGTGTCAACAACTTACTTACTTATAAAATGAAAGGATTTAAAAGCACGAATGTTTCTTTTATACATAATACAAACTTCTACTGTCTTATGTATAAATAGTTATGTATAAAAGAAACATTCGTGCTTTTAAATCCTTTCATTTTATAAGTAAGTAAGTTGTTGACACGCATTAAAAATGTTATAACACCTTGATAAAGGTTGGCGTTCAGCCAACTGAAATATTGGTAAAAAAGATGGCGCGTTATTGCTTTGTGTTAACTTACTTACTGTCAACAACAACAAGTTACAATACAATATAATGCGGCTTGTGATTGTAAAACGAAATTTGAAATACTATCCAGCATGTGTTTCTTTTCAACGAAAATTCAAAATTTATTTCAAGGAGAAATAACGATTATTTCTAACCTTTTGGATGAGGTATGAAAGGGTGAATTGTGAAGAGTAATAAGAGGTAGCCTAATGGACATGGCATCTGCCCGGTAAGCGGAACACTGTGGGTTCGATTCCCATCCCTGGGCACTTTTATTTTTCCGTTTCTTCACAATTCACCCTTTCATACCTCATCCAAAAAGTTAGAAATAATCGTTATTTCTCCTTGAAATAAATTTTTAATATTCGTTGAAAAGAAACACATGCGGGATAGTATTTCAAATTTCGTTTAACAACAAATTACTTTATATAATATTTACGAACGGAAAAATATGTCCAGGGTAGCCTAGTGGACATGGCATCTGCCCGGTAACGGAAATATCTTTATTTACGGGGCGCTGTTAACCAGAATGGATGATTTTTGAGCCCCGATGGACGCATAAAGCGGAATATATACATTGCACTGTTAGAGAGGCCTAGGGATGGGTTGCCAGGGGATCATCGCCGGGTGAGGCCAGGAGAGCCGGGATGTAGAGGAGGATCAGGGTCTGCCCAGTAAGCGGAACACTGTGGGTTCTATTCCTATCCCTGGACACTTTATTTTTCCGTTTATTCACAATTCATCCTTTCATACTTCATCCCTAAGGTTAGAAATAGTCGTTATTTCTCCTTTAAATAAATTACGATTTTTTCGTTCAAAAGAAACATTTGCTGTATAATTGGCAAACATCGTTTTACAATCATAAGCCGCATTATATTGTACTAGCGAACCCGGCCACGCGTTGCTGTGGCTAAATTGTAATATGTTAAATTAACATTATACTAAACTATTCAGTACAGTAAGGTTAATATTCACTTATAAAGATAAAAATGTTTTAGCCGATCTAAAGCCCTACGGGATTGAGAATGGAACGTTACGTTAAAATTTGAAAGTGATTTTTATATATATAGATAATTATCTAGGCTATAATATAGCCCTTCATTGTAATCATTGATTAGAATCACTGCACCAATAAATGTCAGCGAACTCGTATATATTTATTGTTTTTTTGTTTTCGAGATATTCTAATAGAACGTTCTCACATTTTTTGTAAAATATTTATATATGCACAAACACAGAATATAAAAATATGTCTTAAAATTCGCTATAATTATTGTTATAAATATTATTTTTAAATAATTCGCCAGAAATCGTCCGGGTAGTATACTAAACAACTTCCCAAAGTTTCACGGCAAACATCTAAAATAAAATAATACTTTTAATACTTTGCTACAATATTAAAAAGAGGGGGGGCTTAGGTGTTTAAAATGTAAAATGTGCTCTAAATATTATTACATAGAGCCGTCATAACAAACATATTTAACATAAACCAATCAAAATATAATAATGCTGTAAAAACAGACCTTGCTACAATAATATAAAAGAAATGAAAATAAAAAAAGACACCCACGCTGAGCCTCGAACCTAGGTTTGTTACAAATATTATTAAAAAATTGTTTATGTTAATTTTTATTTTAAAAAGCCTACATTTTAAATAAAATAATATTTTTAATAATTTGCTACAATAATATAAAAGAAATGAAAAAAAAACACCCACGCTGAGCCTCGAACCTAGGTTGCGGGGGTACGAAGCTGTGTACCTAACCTATAGGCTAAGCTTGACGTTACAAATAAGCTCATGCGAGGCTATTTCAGGCCATACGTCTGCCGCGAGGGGGCGCTGATTGCGAGTGAATTTTCGTTTTATTGTAAATAAAAATGCAACGAAAGGTTATTTCTAAAGAGTAATTAGCCAGAAACCATCCCGGTAGTATACTAAACATCTTCCCAAAGTTTCATCACGATTGGTTGAGCGATGTAGAAGATTATCACTGACGAACGGACGGACGGACGGACCAACGGACGGACCAACGGACCAACAAACATCCATTTTTATATATATAGATTATAAATCTATTAATTCAATGTGAAAAATGAATA